GTGTGTGTGTGTGTGTGTGTGCGTGCGTGTGTGTGTGTGTAGGGGGTGTGTGTATATAATACACGACCATCCCATTCAAAATGGGACACTAGAGATTGCCATTACGTCCACTGTTAGATCGGGGGGGAGGGGGGTAGTTAGGTACAGGATATATCAAGGCATAGATTAGATAGGGAACAGGTTAGAAAAATTAGAGTTAGTAGGTTAGCAGGGGTTAGGAATGGGTATGAAGACCCAGCCGTAGGGGGGGTGCACGCCCTTAAGCGCGCTTTTCGCCGCCTAGCACCTATAGTAGCTCATCAGAGGGATTAGTAGTTAGGCTCCAGTTATCATGGGGGTGTGGGCAAGGTTCCAGGGGGTTGTAAGAGGTTCAACATAGGCAGTTTAGAGGATCGGATGCACGGGATCCATACCTGAGTAGTCAAGGTTGGTGAAGCAGTCACATCAGTAGCCTCCATGGCTGTGTCCGGCGATGGCAGGCGAACAATCAGTCTGGACGAGAGATTGTGGTTGGCCTTATGGGTATTTAATGTTGGAGTGTAGCAGGTTAGCAAAAGTAGTGGAGATGGGGTGTGGTCAGGGGTGGTAGTGTGGTCAGGGAAGATGCATTCAGGGTATGGGCAGATGTACGGGCAGAGTTTGGTTGGGGGGAGGGGGTACTTGGTGTGAGGTGTATAGGTGTGAGGGGATGTGCTGCCATGTGGATCTGTGGATTTTTCTGGACAATCGGAAATTGCAGATAGTACACTTTTCGCCAAGCAAGATCCCTTTTTTTAACAAAACCCCTCTCTTTTTAAAAAAAAAACGTTTTTCAAAAAAATCGAACAGATGAGTCTAGAGAGCCAACTCTGTCTGCGTAGTAGTCCTTGCATATTATGTATTATAGATATTAAATGTTAACATCTTGCCATCGGCACCTGGTTCTAGGCTATCACTTGACTTATGGTGGCCGGGAGCAGGGTCAGAAGGACAAGGGGTTTAGGGGTAGATCGAGTTGTCTCATAGCTATCAGAGAGGCAGGTGTTCTAGTAGGGAGGGTGTCTAGTCTTCAGGGTCAGGGGGGTTGGAAAGTCTTAAGAACATGGAGGTAGTTTTATCAGATCTTAGCAGTTTTTTTTTTTTTTTGAAGTAAAAATTAGACGAGGTGCTAAGTGCATATATTTGTACTAGCAATACTAAGCCTGTCTAGTGTGTTGGGAGGTCACTTATTAGCAGGTACTTGTCCTATGAATCTGTAAGATGGTTAGCTAACGTAGAGTTAGTTGCTCAGTGGATGACAAGCAGATTAAATACTACTCGATCCTCGTGATGCTCGCAGTGCCAAATTGATAGTTGGGGCTAAGTCTGCGGCAGACCCTCTTCCAGGAATCCTCAGACGTTGGTGATTCGGTGCCGAGAGCTGTCTAATCGCTGGAGGCACGCAGTAAAGAGGAGTCAACACTGTTGGCGCCATAGTTGTGTCTGAGAGCTTCGATTGTCGATGTCGGTCGCAGCGGAGTATACGGAGATGGTGAGCTGATGGTGATAGGTAGATGTGGTCTTTCTCCTTTGCCGTTTTCGCTGTTGCTGATCTGTATAACTTTCGGGTTTGCCTGTGCCGGTTGTTCAACGGGTAGACTACTGCCTTCGAGTCTGTGCGGCCACTAGTGGAGCAGTTGTTCTGATGGAGGAAGCAAGGCGTGTACAGTCCGTGATGTTTGTGTTGCTTGGCATGGTGCGGTGGCAGCGGTTGTGGGATTGCAGGTAAAGGTGGTTGGCAGCAGGGTTTGCGGAGGTGACTGGTGACCGGCGGCGCTATTTTGTCGTTGGGCCTGGGCGTGGAGGATGTCATGCATATCTGTTTGGCGGAGATCGGAGTGCGGTTGGTTGCGTTTAGCACGCTTAGCCTTCTGCTTGCCGCTTTGCAGTGGATGCAGTCTGCATGTCTTGTTGCCTCTGGGGGTGTTGCTTCTTTGGGGGGCGGGGAGTGGGTTCATGGCGATGCTAAGTAGCTGCTCTCTTCGCCGTGCAAGTCTGTCGGCTCCAGTCATGTGGTGGATTGCAGTTGGGGGCAAAATGGTGTTGTTGCTGATGGGTATGTGTGTTGTGGTTATGGGGGAATGATTAGGGATGCCGTAGTTGCTAGTGCTGGCAACCCTGTGCGTGTTGCAGCCTGGATTTACAGTGTTGGTGGCGGGGGCAGTGGTGTTTCTGGCGGTGTGTTGTGCTGCAGCGAGGGTGAAGGCATTGACTTGCAGGTGGGAGGGGGCAGTGGTTGGAAAGGTCCTGTGATTTAGCGAGGCGAGGGTGGGAGTACGTTGTGCGCCATTTTGCAGGTTTGACAGTGTTACGGGCTGGTTGTTGTGTGTCAGGGTAGCGGATGCGTGCTGTGTGGTATGGCCACCCTGTGCTGTGTGCGCTGCGTGTTGTATGTGCGGACTGTGAGTGCTGCTCTGCAACGGAGTGTTCGCTGTGGCTGGCTGGCTGTTGGCAGAAGTAGGTTGCCGTAGTGGTTCGGGTGTTGTGTTGGTGGGAGCAGTGTGTGGTCTGGAGTTGGGAGTTGGTCTGGTTGACAGGTGTGTCGGTGTGGCAGTATTAGCGGTATTTGGTGTGGGTGATCGGAATTGCTGTGAGGGTGTGTGAGCAGCGGGTGAGCTAGTGGTGGGGGTGCCCAGTCGCATTTGGCGGCATTTGCGGAGCGAGTTGTCCGCATAGTCTACAGTGTTGCCTCTTCTGTTGTCTGTTTGCGTAAGCAGTGCTTCTGCATTGGGGAGGAGCGCTGCAGTGAACTTGCGCACGAAGGGCACGTCTTTGAAATCTTCAAAGCAGAGGATTTCTTCCGCCGTGATGGTCCTGTTCTGTGTGATGAGGTGAACGATCTTCATCATGTACTCCCTCATGAAGAGGAATGTGATCTGCGCCAGAATTGGCTTTCTCCGGGATGTATGGAGCAAGGCCTGGAACTCGCGCATCCTGATTTTGTCAAAGGGTGCCTGCGGGTCCAGCTTGTCCAAGTTGCCGATGACATACCAGAGCATGTGGTCCAGCCATGTGAAATTAACTTCACAGCCGGTACATGCACATTTGAGGAATGGTCTTCCGGCATTCCACAGTTTTCTAAGCTCTAACAGATCAGTTGGGAACCTGGGTATACCTTTCTGATGCAACAGTGGCTTCTTTGGACATTTCCCTTTCTCCAGCTTGGAAAGCGGTGGGAAATCTGCATTGAAGCCCGCCCTTCCTGCAGGGAAGTGGATGGTGTCGTTCATGGCCGCTGTCCGACAATTCTCTATATCTGCGCTGCTAAGCCCTGCAAGCGTCATGTAAGCGTCAACGTTAATCCGAGCTGTGTAGTTGAACGTATCTAGCTTCCATAGTCTGTTGTGCATGCGTTGCATAACCTTTTCTGTCCACGTGCTGGATGCAAGTGGCAGGAAAAGACTGTTCTTGCCGAACGTGTGCGTGGTGTCTCTGGTCACGGTAGTGACGTCAGAGTGTGCACTGTCCCTTCTCAGAGCTTCCTTTTTCTTGAAATATTCGAGTTTCGCAGGCGTTAAGGCGATGCTGCTGATGTATGTGTCAGAGAAGGTCTTTGTACTCTCATTAGTTGAGATTTGTCCAGCGCTGTCCAGGTGTGCGGTGTCATAGCCATGGAGTTCGAGGATAACCTTTTCTCCCTTGGCGATGATGAGGTTCAGCTCCCTGTTCTCGATGTCCGACTTCTTGCAGACCTCCGCGATGTTGGTGGCGAGCTCCTTGATCTTGTCAGCAAGTACGTGGGGCCTGGTCTGCATTACTGCGACCATGGTCGCCCAATCACTGAAAGACAAGTTCTCTATTAGGAAGGGTGTTTGACCGTTAGTGGCCTGGTGAATGTGCAGTACTAGGACCTCTGCAGGGATAGCCGACATGGCTATTTGTGAGTGCACGATGGGTGGCTGAAGAGCAGAGAACAGTCGAATAGCGGTGACCAGTTCTGGGTGCCAGCCCATAAGGATGTTGTCCTGGTCCTGCACAACGTAAGATGCACGCAAGGGGTTAGTGTGTTGAAGTTTTGATCTTCTAATTTAGTAAAGAGTAGGGAGGGAAGTAGGGGAGGAAAAAATTGAGAGGTGTTCATTGGCCATGCGTTCAGGGTGATTTAAACATTAAGTTGGGTGAAGGGGAGGGAAAGGGTTAGGGAGAGTGGGGGATTTTAATCTATGTTGTCATTTTTATGGGGGGGGGGGGGTATTGCAGTGGTAAGTGTAGGTAACTGAGCTGTGATGATGATTACATTGTGCTTGTTTGTGAAAATTATGCTATCGGTATGGGGCGATATGATATGTGTTGGTTGTTTTGTTGATCGGTTGTAGTTACTATATATGAGGGGTGATTTTCTTGGTTATAGTAGGATCGTGTGTTTATGGTGAATTCACAGGATTCACATATTCATTGAGCGGGGTTTCTTTGCTTGTTATCTTCAGATCATTTAAGGAGGCCAACACTCAGTCGTAATCCTTAATTATCACATATGTTTTATTATTTCAATTTTTTTCAATTTTTTTCAAATTTTTATTTTTATTCTTATATTTTTATTTTTGCGGTTGGAGGGTCATATGTAGTGTGTATTGAGTCGAGTAGAAAAAACTTTAATCTTATTATTTATGTTAACCGGGTTGATTTTTATTCTTATGCTTATTAATTGTTATTTATAGGGTTAAAGGAGGTAGTATTTTATGTAAGATTATATATATATATATATATGTATAATATATTCTAGTTGTGGTTTGGGCACTGTTTTTTTAAAAAAAAGGAAAAGAATAACTAAGTAAGTGGGCACGGCGTCCCTTAGATAGAAACTATGTAGAAAGGGCTGATAGAGATATACACGGCCAATTGCATCCTCAGCCATGGTTATTTCACAGCTTGGGGGCTTCGGCCACCCAGGGGTCAGAAGTGTGTGGATTCTAAGGTCCGCAAGTTCTACAATAACGGTGTCAAGCAAAATCTATAACATCCTCAATTTATATAGTCCGCAAAATCTACAGCATCTACGTCAAAGTAGAACAGAAAGCAATAAGTTAGCAGAAAGTCAAGGCAGGCTAATAACAAAAAAAGAAGCAAAGTTAGCAATTCGTCCGAAGGGTAGATAATTGTTCTTTATGCAGTGCCTTGGAGCCCAAAAATCGTCAATCATCAAGTGTTCATAGTTTCTTTCAGCATTTAGTGTCAGTAGTTGAAAGGTCATAAGAGCATTTCTAAAAAAGGGGGGTCATAAGATAAAGTCGAGGGTAGGGGGGACAAGGTCAGGGTAGGTTCCCCAGTAAATTGACAGTACCGAGCCAGCCCGAGGCTCAGAGTGGTTTGGCATGTTATATATTTATTTGTTTCGGGAGTCAAGTTTATTTTTGTTTTTTTGTTTTTGTATGTATGCATTTTTCCTAATTTCTGGAAAATGAATTATTTTTTGAAAAAAATAAAAATAGTAATATTATCTTTACAAATTTTAAATTAGTTTATTTTATTTTATTTTTTATTTTATTTTTTATTTTATTTTTTTATTTTTTTATTTTATTTTTTATTTTTATACTTTTTAATTTTATATTTTTAGTTTGGGAAAATTTGTCTGGCGCCCCTGTAATTTGCGTTATTTCCTGGCACGCCCCTCCGACGACCGATTTACCCTATCACGCCCCTGGGCCAAAAAATATTTTATGCAGGCCCTTGTCGGTAGTGACCACAACTTTCCAGGACGCGCTCCTTGGACTGACGGTCGGGCCCTGTGCCATATGCCGTCATGACTGGCAGCCATCTTTCTGCAATGCCCCCGCAGCCGTGAGGCAACAAAAATTCGCGTTTGCATCAGGCCCTATCGTCCGCTTCCCTGCAAGTGTGTGTGTGTGTGTGAGAGAGAGAGAGAGAGAGAAAGAAAGGGTGAGTTTGTGACTTTTCTCTCTCTCTCTCTCTCTCTCTCTCTCTCTCTC